TGCAAAGCAGGTGATCGTCCTGAAATTAGTCGGCTCGTATAGCGGGTTGGATATTTAGGTTAATAAAAAAAATATATAAAATAATAGGCAAATAGAGAAAAAGAAGAATGTGGAGTTATACAGTTTTTAACGGGTCATTAAGGTTAAATAAATTGAGTAAAATAAAATTATAAAGACAACTTATTTATTTTCGGTCTTCACCGGGTCAAGAGACCCCATTACAAGATGCGGCTACGCCATTGATCGCCTCATATACAATGTTACGTGGACGTTTAAGTAAGGACCAACGAGGGTGTACGTTGTGCACACCATATATGCGATGACTATCGTTTCGTCAACATAACTTCACGTAATGTCAACCTATCGCTGCCATTAGCAAGTCTTCGAAACTTCTTCTCTATAGCTGCTACCTCTTCTTTGTTGACCAACCCCTTATCGATTAGCTCTTGAAGCTTCCTTTGGAATCATCAAAGTAGGTATTACTTAATAAATCAACATAAAACATATATCAGAGCATTTTCAATGGCTTCTTTAAAATGGGGATTTTGAACCAATATTTTGCTTCTAAAGCTTCCTCAAAACTATCTTCAAAATGGATAAAGTAGAAGAAAAATGACGGATCTGACCATCACAATTGCATACCTATGTTAAATCTGATAATTTTTCTCTCTTTTTTAGTCAAGTCCATAACATTTACGAAGAAACATTTGGGTAAACACCAGAAAGAAATGAGCAGAAGACCAATTTTGATGTCCTAAATAGCTATTTGAGTCAATTTTCTATTATGTTATTACGGAAGACATTCCGTCCCATGTGACACCATATAGCACTCACTTTATGGATCTCGAGACTCTCTTGTATGACATGACTCAAAATTAAAGTTAAACTGAACCGAATAGCCAATTCTTCAACGAACATCATTTTTTACCCATCTTTTCAATTGAATTTACATTTTACGTAGAGTTTATGCCAATATCTTACATATTTAGATTAACTCGATTTTCAGATTAAAAATATAATAAAAATAGATATTTTTACGTAAAGATCCAAAATTTTGTGTAAAAAATATACCTAAGGATATTTTTTACCACCGGAAATCAGTCTTTACGTAAAAGATCTGCATAAAAAATACTAATAATGTATTTGATAATGAAATTGATTATTTTAATCAATTTCCCAAAATTAA